TTAAACAAATCATGTAACTCCACTGAACCCTGAGGTTCAGTGCAGAGATTCAGGGCCAGCTGTACCCATGTTCTGTGAGGCTAGTATATGTTTTATGTTAATGAGTTAGAGATGTGCTCCAGTGCCCCGAGGCTGCAAGGCAGGCAGCTTGAGGAAGAGCTTAGAAATCCCTCCTCACAAAAGCAGGCAGCTACAGACATCATTTGTAGCTCTGATGTTTATGGCCAAAGGCCTAGCACAGCTGCAGTCTGTACTTAGAACCCAACTAGACCTGAGAAGATGATTTATGTTTGACATAACTTTAACATAAAAGGAATGTGCCAGAGATGAGCACATGACTGTAATCTCAGTACTTATGAGGCTGAGATAAGAGGACTGGAGCTCAAGTCCAGTCTGGGCAGCAGAGCAAGACCCCTATATCAAAACAAATGTGTCTAAGAAGCAGGGGTGTTGACCTGAGTGGTCCTTTCCACACTCATTGCCTTGCTCTGTTGACAGCATCTGGGGTGCCTCAACTGGTGGAGCCTGTGCTCTGGGACTATGGAGCTGACCTGGATGTCCATGGCAAAAGTCAGTACGGATTGCTCGCAATACATTCCTCATGGTACATGTACCTGCATGACTGTCTCCCAGTCCTCCATAACCCTGTAACCTGAACTATTCAGCCTGGAAATCTGGGTACCACCTTAGCGTAGCTGACCAGCGTGGGGCAGAAAGGCCATACAGAGACTCCTGTCCTGGCATGGTATCCCCTGCTGGCTCCAGATCATCCCAGGTCCTTTCCAGCTCTTCCTGAAGTGTTTATTCCTGAGTGATAAGCTAGAGGCTTATTGTGGGAATGGTTGGTGTCTCCTCTCTGCTAGAATAGGCATGGCTCTCAGCTGCTCTGGTTAGGCTGTGTTTCCAGGGCCTCTCTGTGAGAGCTGCTCTTCTGCTTGCTTTCTTGCCTAGTCTTCCTGATAGGAAAGTACCAGGAGTGTGGCTTTCAGAGGATGTGGGCTGCCAGTGCCTTCAAGGGGGCCACAGGGGCTAGTCAGTCTCTGCCCCCTGTTGAGCACCACATCAGAAACCATGAGCTGTGGCTGCAGGTGGCAGGCAGTGGGCCAGTGGATACTCTACAAGGAATCATCCTGACTGGCTGGCAGAGGTAAGCTCTCAGAGGCTTGGGGTAGGAAGTGGGAAGTTCCTATTATCTATCATGGTAGCTTGTCTAGTGTTGGTCTTGCCTCTTCCCAAATCATGTTCTCCATGCCTCTCTCTTTGCCTCATTTACTCTTCTGGGGAGACAATTGAGTGGTCGAACCACAAGCATACAGCCTCTGTGGTCTGAGTCACAAGTGATACTGTGTGTCTCATGTTTAGCAGGGCATGAAGATTAGTCCCAGTTCTTTTAGGATGTCATACACTTTATGAAAGAGGATGAACCTGGTCTTTGGTTCTGTCCAAGTCCTAGTGTCAGATTTCAGCCTTTGAGCTGGACTGGTCAAAGCTGTCAACTCCACCAGGAAGAGCTATAAAGATGTCTCCCTGGGGCCTTCACAGGTCCCAAAATGTGACTGGAGAGCAGAGTTCTCAGCCAGCTGAGCCTGTCTAGTGTGATCGCTGGAGTTGCTCATAATTTCAGTAGATGTCCCCCGGTTGGCTTCAGAGATGATTCTAGATGGCTCGTGAGGACTTACCAAGCATTTGCCATTCCAGTAGAGTATATAGAGATGTGAGTTAAACCAAGACTTTCACAGAGAGTAAAGCCCTTTCTATGCATTGGATGGTAGCTAGTGACTCACAGAGGTAAAGGAAAACTGATGGGAGTGATGTAATCACTGGCCCTCCTGTCAGCCTCCATCTGCCTCACTTGAGGAGCATCTCTCTAGCCCCTTATGGCTGAAGAAACAGAGGCCAGGCCAGGTGGAGGGACTGCCCAGCACTGGAGAAATCAGATGCCCACTCTAACCTGGGGCCTTGTGGAAAAGCATGAGGTGGATAGATGGGACACAGGCCACAGAAAAGGCCTCTGGGAGGCAGACTAGTACAGGAAAGGGGTAATAAAGGCTTTACAGAAGCTGTACATCAAGCATGGAATAGTACTGGCTCTAGGGACTGCGGAGTGTGCCCAAATGCTCAGAGCCCGTTTCCCCTATACAGGCTCCTCCCCAGGGCATCATAGCAAACCTAATCCAAAATCCCCATGACATGAAACCCACTTTGGACATCCTGAGCCAGGTAATGGCATACACCAGGCTGCCCATGGTGGTTCCTAGTCTAGGAATCCCTCAAAACATAAAAAAAGACACCCCAAATCAGGCATCCTCATCAGGCTGAAATGGTTGAGGGCTGTAGAGCTGAATAGTCTTCTTCTGGACATAGGTACGACCACTTCTCTGTGCTGTGTGAGCTGCTCCCCGTGGGAATCCCATCCCTGGCTGCCTGTCTACAGTCACTTGTACATGGTATGTCCCAGCTGACACTTCTAGCCCTCCTACCTACTCTTAGCCAGACAGGAAGAAAGGAACCATTGCTGATTTCCCCTGGTCATTGTCCTGCTCTGTCTAGACTGTTGTCCTTCACAGGGATGAAGAAGGCTCTTGTTTCTAGTCTGCCCACTTGCTTAAATGCCACTGGTCCAGGACTGCCAGTTCCTCATCCTGAGCCTCGAGTAGTTTGGGAATTTAGAAGGGACACGTCCCCCAGATTCAGAGAACATACATAAGAAATTCATGATTCGGGTGCAGATGCAGATTCTCTTTGCTGTTTAAGTGTTCTGAGGACTCTGCAGAACTGGGCGCCCCACTGCTACAGGAGCCTGATATCAGTGCTCCCACACCCAGTGCTCCCACATCCAGGTGACCCGAGGAAACAACCGGCTGCAGAAAACAGGCATGGGCACTGCTCAGAGCGAGTGTAGGCCATGCAGCCTTAGTCAAATGAACCATGTCCATGTAAACTACAAGACTATGTAGGAGTTTACAGCACTTAGAAGATGTCCACATGTAAAGAAGGCCCAACAGTCAGGCTCTGTGGCCTGGGGGAAAGATGGAAAAGTGGTCTTACTTTAGCTTATTTCCACCACCACCCCTGCAGTTGTTCATTGTAAAATGTCCAGAATGTGTAGAAAAACAGGAAGTAATAATCACAAACAGCCGCTAACTGATGTTAGCGGTTTTGGCTTTAGCCCTTCCTGGTTTTGAGGAGTGATTATGCTGGGACCCAGACCCCTCAGTGCAGGGCCAGGAACCGTCTGTCAATGGCTTCCTGAGACAGCTTTTTGTGCTGACTTGGAGGTATGTCTGCCCTGGTCTCACACCCTGTTTCAGGTGCTCTAAAATATTCCGCCTTTGATTAAGCCTGGACACTTGCACATGAACTGTGTGGTGAGGCCAGGGGCTCCTGCAGATTGTGCTGCTACCTACAATGATCTATAACAAATATCTTTTACATATTCAATGAAAAGCAACCAGCTGGCCTGGCTGGGACTCCCCAAGATGCTGTGCCTTTTGCCCATAGCACCCAAAGGTCAGGGGTCTCCCTGACCACTTCTGCCTGTGGACGGTTTCAGGAGGCTTTGCTGAGGATGTTAGGCTGAGAGTGGAACGCTTCCTTGGGGTTTCAAGCCTGGAAATAACGGATACTGTAAGGTAATCCCACGATCCCTGACATTCCCCCACCCCTCCCTCTGGGGACCACTGTTCTTAGTGTGACTCTCTGGCAGCGAGGGAGCTGGCTCCTTCCCTGGCAGTGACATCCATGCCCTCGTCACTCAAATTAGTCTCCACCTGCGCAGCTCTGTGGATACACTTCTGGAAAGGAATAGGTAAGCAGCTCCCACATGTCTCCTGCCATTGTTCTTTACAAAGGCTTTTCTAGAAAGACTTCTAAAAATTTCTACCAGGTTTCCACTGAGACTGTCTGGATTTGCTCCAGGTATGTCACTGGCTGGTTCAGCCCCTACCATCGCAGGCGGAAGCTCGTTCACCCAGTTATGGTCCAGCACATACAGCCGGAGGCACTCAGGTAGCCACCATCATAGCTTCCCAGGTGTTCAGCCCTGGAACACCTTGTCCCCTTCACGAACACACAGTAGTAATGACTATGGTTATCAGTATGAAGGCAAGACAAGCTCTCCAGGTCTTGTAGCTATATATCTTGAATGAACTGATAGGCTACTTCTTAGTAGCACTTCCCCTAATATTAGCAAGACTCTAAGTGGTTCCTGGCCTAATCAACCACATGCCCAGGCTGATCCAAAGTTCATCTTTGGAATCAGGCTACCTGGGGTCCATGCTGGCCCCGTCATTTCCTGGTACAACCTGGTAAAGTGTCCTGTGGCTGGAGTCCCAGGCTGCCTGCACTGTCCTTTCCTGGTTTAAGACTCTAAGCTAAGCTAATAAGTGTAACATGTATAACATGCTGCCAGTAGCATGACCTGTTCACGGTTGTGAAAAAAAACTGCCAGGCAGTGGTGTGCTTTTGATTGTTAAAATGTGACCAGTCATTCATTTATTTATCCCAATGTTAAACAGAGGCATGGAATAGTACTGGCACTAGGGACTAAGGAGATGGGAGTAGCTATGTAAATTTGAACCTTAGCAGGAACACTCAAGTCAAATCCTGGGTGCTGTCTCCCTCAGCCTTCTGAACAGGTGGAACCAGCTTGTGCAGCAGTTGGAGGCAGCCCTGCAGATGGCCTTCTACCCGGACGCCATAGAGGAGTGGATGGAGGAGAATGTGTTCCCAAGTACACAGCGACTGCAGGCTCTGCTGCAGGACCTGGGGGAGGCGGCAGCCCAACAGCCACCACCCACCAGCTCAGGCTGGGACACAGGTCAGAACCCCTGAGGGGATGGTACCCTGTATATCAGCCTGGACAACACCAAGATTTCTGTCTCAGTGACCCAGCCATGTGGGGCCTGTGCTCTTCCTGCTGAGCCCTGGACACCTGTGCAGACAGGCCCTCCAACTGTATAAACAGTAACCTTGGGCAAAGCAGAAAACACAAAGGCACATTTGCAATTTGCATGTAGAGCTTTATTACTTCTGAAATAAAAAGACCAGTAGAAGTGGAAGTCCCACCAACAGAAACTTCAGCCAACCTTTTACCACCACAAAGAATTTCATGCCTTCACCCAGGAATGAGTCTCAGCACTGGGCAATATCAGAAGGGGATAAGACAGCACCTAAGAGACAGACTCCTTCCTTTCTTGTCTAAAGTACCTTAAGAGTCTGTACGCAACAAGCCAAAAACCAACAAGCTATATTTCACATTTCACCTAGGGAGAAAAATCTCTAACTTAACTATTTAAAAAGGTCAGTTTGGCATGTTCAAGGGACCATGTCTCCAAATCGGGACTAGTGGCAGTCACTCAGAAGACCTGGTCAGAGTTCTTGCCTAACTACTCTGCTCAGCCTAGGGACAGCGGCCTCAAGGCTGCCTTAACTTCTGTGCCTGTATAACCTTCAGTCTCCCAGTTCTACCTGACGAGGTATGAGTCTGCAGCTTTGAGGAGCTGTATGTAGCCCAGAGATCCACAGCTTTTAGGCCTAGAGGCCACGCTGGGAACTTAGTAAACAATGTACTTTTGAGGGACTTGAGTCCACTCAGAAGGAAACCAGAAGGGCAGAAAAGGACCATTAGTGGTTGGTACCAATTTTATTAGAAGAGGCCACGGCCCAGACTGGCCTTGGAACATTCTTCCCGCCTCACTTCTGAACACTAGGATTTATAGCGCTGTGCCTCTACATGCCTACTTTCCTCAGGTGTTTTCCAGGCTTGAAAGGCTAAGATTCAGTTTCTGTAAAGGAGCTCCCAGGTCTTAAAGGCTGCAGGATGCCAAAAGTGAGCTTCTCTCCACCAGCAGCTTCTTTCCATGCTGGACTGGGAGAGCCTTCCATTCCTGACAGCTGTGCTCCGACACCCTGGGATCTCAGACAAGTGGCCTAAGAAGGAACGGGGTAGTCAGCAGCACTCTGATTTCTCTGAGAGTTCTGTGGCCAGGCATCCAGCATCCAGAGTTGCCTTCAGGGAAGCCCCTGACCACCAAGAGTGTCCATCTTGAGGGATGGTGAGGGACAGTAGACATCAGTGTGCACAGGAGTGGGTCCTTCCTACATGAATGTGAGTGTCTCACTCTCACTGTGAAGTGGAGTCTTGCCTACAGTAGCCTGGGGTGGCAAGGCGTCTTGAAGGCAGTCACTAGGCTTATGCTGAAGAAAGCTTGGCATCTGATGCTTCAGACTGCCCTTGTGTAAGCTTATCCAGACCAGGCTGTGCTGCCCAACCCACAGCTGCAGTATAACTCTGGGGAAGGCACTAATATCTGAGACCTTGCCCTCCCCCTAGATGTAGCATCCACCCCCTACATCCTGATAAATGCAACCTTTCTGAATTGTGGAAGAGGTCTAGCCCATGGTTCTGCAAAGTGTAGAAGCACAAACAAGCAAAAGGCAGGTGGTCCATAGTAGAACTCCCCAACGAACCATAGGCAGGTGCCCAAGATCTGCCTGTACCCTTATAATTAGCAAGTCGGTTGGAGACGTATCAGAAGTGGGTGACATTTACCAGCAGCCATTCCACAGTGTCAGCTCTGGCCACCAGGGATGTCAGGTTCACTGTCGCTGCTTTGTGACCGTTCTGAGGGGCTCTCCAGGCGATGCAGCTCCAAGAAGCTAGTGATGAGTTTGGCAATGGCTTCCACATCACTAGGCCATCATCAAGAAAGCAAGTCACCTTGGCAAAGGGTGCAGTTCCAAACACACCACAAAAGACCCACACTGTCTCATCCCCCAGATACACCTACAACACCCCCAGGGGGTCCCAAATGGGCCCAATATCGCTGGCCTCAGTCCTATTCTCCCCAGACTCCCAATCCTGTTCTGATGCCTCCCCTACCAAAGCTATGGCAGAGCTGCTCCTAAGCACGCACATCCTAAGCACAGCCCCATACCCTGTCTACAACGTTTAACCTCTCCATTGCCCTGAAAAACACTAAGGGATATCCCAGTCTTGCTCTATACTACCCTTACCTGCGTCGGCCCATGATTGCACTCTGTGTGAGGGGATGGGAGAAGCCAGTTGCAAACCGGAGCACCACCATGTAGCCCTTGCCAAAGTAACGGACCTTCTCCTCCTCCACATTCACGTCCTGGATGTCTTTCAGCAGGACTACCACTGGGGACAGAAGGGTTTGCTGATGAGCAGTCACCCTATGCTCTCACCCTATGCTTGCTGAGCAGCAGGAGTAGCATTAGTGACAAAAGCATTGCTAGTCCACATCCTGTACCATGGACCCAGAATAACTTCTGGATAAAGCTACACAGGAGAGCCATTACAGCTGCAGTTTCAGGCAGATGCTGGCTTCCCTGAGCAGCCCCACAACAGGGATCACTAAGCCCAAGCTGCCATCTTTGTGATATCCTTTTTGCCTGACTTTACCTTAGGCTGGAAAACCTGTCTGGCTCCAGTAGGGTAGTCCTGCCAGTTAGTTCTGTGCACAGAAAAACCATTGCTTAACTAATGCATGGCTGATACTGCTTTCCCAAGAGCTACTGGAAAACTCTCTGTGTGAGAGAGAGCCACTATCCCATCTCACTGTCACAGTAACATGGGGGATGACCATGTGGCTTGGATCCTGTGGGACCTGGCTCTCAGATGCTCGAGGGCTCCCAACAAGCAGCCTAGGGGGAAGTTCAGCCAGTGCACTAACTCACACCCCACAAACCAGCTCTGGTCTTCATCTGTGCCACATTCAGCTGTTTACTGCCAGCACTCCACACAAGTTAGAGGCCTGGATGCCTTGGGACCTACCTCTTCATGTTAAAAGACCACTGAGGGGCCTGTGCACACACATGGTTTACTTTCATGTTTGCAATGGACAATAGCTGGACTGGATACATAGGGAAGAGACCTATGAGAACATGCTACAACTAGGCTACCTCCCAAGCCCAGAAGTTCAAGGGTTGTGGGGTTCCTCTGACCATCTCACTGCAGGGCTAGCAGAGCAGACAATCAAGAAAGGCCAAGTGGTTCCTGAAGACTAGGATGGCTCCCTGTTAGTCTACCTGGCACAGTAACCTGTCACTCTCACTCAACCTAGGAGAGCTGCCAAGGAATTTCCATCCTTCCTAACAGGCTGAGTCCTGAAGTATGCAAATTATCTGCCTGGATTCATCCCTGCAAGCCAGGATAAGTCTGGGAACCCTCATTCCTTGAGCAGTTGAACTTGGACCCAAGCCACCCAGGCCTCACCAAACCTTCACCAAGCTGTAGGTCCCCCACGTCTTACCTTGATCATGGCCTGCTCTGAGAAGAGTCAGCAGCTTCTTGTAGAGGCTGAATGTTTTTAAGATGACCTTCCCAGTGCTCTTGTTGAAAATGGCCTCCTGCAAACCAATGTATACTAACCACACAGAGAACTCCAGGGAGAGGGCTAAGCTGATGCTGAGGTTATCAGCCCCACCCACACTGGTACAAATATTCATTTCCCCAATGGGAACCCAAAGCCTTCAGGACTCTTCCAAAGCCAACTTCTTTGCCTGACCTCTTATACTCCCAAGTAAGGGGCACATGAGAGAAAGCAGATAGAGTGGGTGCCCTTTTCTCTTTACAGGAGAACAAGACCAGGCTGGGGAATCTAGCCCAGTGGTAGAGCCCAGCAGGTATGAGGCCCCAGGTTCAACCCTAAGTACCTGGTAAATAAAAGGACAGGATGGTAATGAGGCCATTAAGCAAAAAAGCAGAAGCCCAGGTTAGGCAGCTTCAAGAATTCTGAGAAGTCCAAGACTAAGGGAAGGGGACTTCCCCAAAAGGTACCACCTGACTTTCCCCAGGCCCAGATTTCTGTCAGCTATTGTAGATGTACAGTGAGGGAATGGGTCGACAGGAAGCCCCCAACCTGTGAACTTCAAAGTCTAACTGAGTTAGTTAGCAGAATGTTCTCAGAGGTCCCTGCCCTGTGTTACCAGCCCAGCCAAGAGACAATACAGATTTGTTGCAACAACCCCAGGGGGGAAAAAAAGAACTGTGAGTGTGGTGTTTTATGCCCATCAGAACGCTGAGGCAGTAGGCTTACTTTTGCGTTTGAGGCAAGCCTGCAACAAAACAAAACACAGTACACAGAACCTTGGTGAAACCGTTGTGAGTAGCTTCTAGAAAAGGCCAGAGATCTTTACAAGCAAAGTCAAGGGAAGGGCTGAGTCCAGATAACCCAATGCTTCTGAACTGGGGCAGGTGCTTCCAAATGGGAAGGGTACTACTGTACCATCTTACCTCCCAGTCCTCCAAGTTCTGTACAGCCACAAACAGGCAGCCCGTGACATAGAAGAGCTTCCAGCCCAGACTATCTGCAAGCAAAGTATATCAGCTCATTAGTGATAGGAGCCAAGATATGTGTCCATAGGTGGTCCTTCCCAGCCCAGCCTTTCTTTTGGCTCAGGTTAGAGGCTTAGGCAATGTGCTTCTGTCACCAGAGACATGTGCATCCCAAACTCTGCCTAATTCCATCTAGGAGATGGGTAGATCTATACAGCCTTGTCATGGAGATGGGACACATCCTCCCTGTAGCAAGGTGGAAGGCAAAGGCTAAAGAGTTTTCCAGGAGGACTTTGTAACACAGGGAGAGACTCAAGATACAAAACATGGGTTCGGATCATCTCCCATACAAGGCAAGGTAGAGGCTACCCCAAAGCCACACACACCAAGACTGCTCACAGATGCTTTTTGTTCATTACCAAGTGGAAGGAAGCTGATGGGGAGAGAGAGCATACTTTACCTCCACTGTAATAGGCAGCAGCCAGGCCAGTGGATAATATTCCTGTAGAGAAAGGAGAGAGTACCTTGTTAACTAGCCAAGGGAAGTCCCATTTCTTCACCGTGCTATAGCTGCCAGCAAGCAGGACAGCTTGTTCAGGGGCAGCAGGTAGAGGCTACCTATTATAGAGCTGGTGAAACAGCTAAAAAGTTTGTTTCAAAATGGAGGACAAGGGGACTGGAAAGAGAACTTATTGGTTAAGAGTATATACTACTTTTGCAGAGGACCCAGTTCAGTACTCAGCACCCATGTCAGGCCATTCACAACCTCCTGTAACTTCAGCTCCAGGAGACCTAATGCTCTCCTGGACTCCACAGGCACCTATACACACCTGCATAAACCCCCTCCCCCATATAGATACACACATAATTTAAAAATAAAATTAAATAAAAAAGCAGGATATGCTGTCATAGCATTCACCAGACTTGTCTGCAAACAAATGAAAAATGCACAAATGACCCTGATGTAGGTATTTCCTACATGGGATAAGGGATGAAGACTATGTAGAGAATTCTAACACAACACAGCATAACACACAGAAGGGGCATGTGTTTATCTTAAGGACAGACTACAGAGATGCTACTGAAGCCACAGCTAGTGCCTCACCTCAGACTCTGTACAGCCCAGCCAACACAAGTGCAGCTGTCCCTGTGATACAAGAGCCTTCTGATAGGCAGTGATGGAGAAAGAGTACAAGAGACTGAGTGCACTTATGAAGAGGTCCGAGACCGGGAAGAGGAAAAATGGGAACCCACAATCACCTGTCACATGGAAGGAAAACTATTGTGACATCAAAGAAAGCAGATAGGCTGGGAGTGCATCTCAGTGTTAAAGAAGTGTGCCCAGCATGCAAGGCTGGGAGGGTATCTCAATGTTAAGAGTGTGCCTAGTGTGCAAAGGGGTCCTGCATGCCATCTGAAAGAAAAGGCACACTGAGGGTTAGTGAAACATGCTTTATCAAGGCCTTGTATTGAGGAGAACCTCTAACAGAACACAAAGAAGCTGTTTATGTCGCTTTTTAGATTTGTGTGGGGAAAAACTGGGAAGCCTTACCGACCAGCAGGGACCAAGACCGGATGCCTGGAGCCCTCTTCAGATGGAGGCGGGTGCTGGTGCGTGTCTCCACCTGCATATACATCCCTGGAACCTGGGCTCCACTGCACAGCCGACCAGGCTTGGAAAAACACAGCTGAAGCCTGCAACCACTGCACATAGGCAGCACGTCATCAGTCCAGTCAGGAGGCCAGGGGAAGGTCCACAGCTGACCCTGAATTCCTTTCTCTTATGAGCCCGCCTCAACTCACAATTATGTATGGGCATGGGGATACACAGCTCACAAATTCAGTGTTGGTCTGGTCTCACTTCCAAGACCTAGTCTTGTGAATCCTTTTCTTGACTGAACCCTCATCTTTAAGTTCCATTAGTAAGCCCCCCCCCGCCCCGCCCCACCCTGAGACACACACACAAAACTCAGGCTTCCGGCACCTTACCCGAATCGTCCAGAAACAACTCTTCCCACCAAGAACGGGAAGTGAAAGTACCATCGTGCATGAGTCTCTACAGTCACAAGCTGTCAGATCCCTGTTACTAACTCCAGACTACCTAACAATGGCCCAAATGGATCCGAATTAATGGGACACTGCGGCAGGACCTCTGGAGATTAACACCCAAAGCCCCAGTTCTGAGTGGCTCCTTGGATGCCCAGGGGCAATCAAGCTTCGTACCCTACATCCTCAAGAATACTAGTTAGGCACACAACTTGCCTCCCTCTGGCTTCAGTTACCAAAAAGCTCCACTAGCGGCCCGTTCCGCTAGCTCCTCTGGAGGAGTGCACACGCCCGGTTTGCTCTATCCGCCTTGCGCCCAACCCAGATCCGCAAGCGATGACCCGCACAGGGCACGGCGAGTCAGAACCCGGAAAGATGCAGTACACGCACCTATGCCGGCACCGAGGGACGTGTTCGAGAATTAGTGGGCGACAACAGCCCCTCGAACTTCCGGACTTCTGTTCCGCGGACTTCCGGGATAAGAGCCGGGTAGGAACCTCCCAAGGGTGGAGACTGAGTGATTACGCAGTACCTGGTAGTGCCTTTGTGCTTCCATACTCCGGGGGGACCGGGCGGTCCATAGGGCTCCTGAATTTAACCCCTTGGCCGGCCAAGGAAGATGTGACTCATGGGACATTTCCTACCTAAGCAGCATATGGGCGTGGTTTAGAAGCCCTAGGAGTAGATCCAGATTGGGTTTTTTGTTTTGGGGGTGGGGGAGATTTTTTGGGTTTTCCAGACAAGGCTTCTCTGTGTAGCTCTGGCTAGCCTGGAGCTGAGAGATCCGCCTGCCTCTGCCTCCCAAGTACTGAGATTAAAAAAGACATGTGCCTGCCGGGCGGTGGTGGCGCACGCCTTTAATCCCAGCACTTGGGAGGCAGAGGCAGGCGGATTTCTGAATTCGAGGCCAGCCTGGTCTACAGGGTGAGTTCCAGGACAGCCTGGACTGCACAGAGAAACCCTGTCTCGAAAAACAAAACAAAACAAAACAAAAAACAAAAAAACAAACAAAAAAAAGGCATGTGCCACTACTTCCTGGCTGCATCTGGAATTTTAAGGAAATGATGAGAGATTATATTCACCAGACCCCTAAGGTATAGCAAACATGGACTATCTGAAGTTACTCTAACAAAATATGCACAATAAATGAAAGTGGGAGCATGGGCACTCCTAGGTATTGCTGACCAGGTTCTTATTGTAGATATGAGGGAAAGCACAGTCACGGGCATATGGAAGAGTCTGGCTGAACATGACCTGCAGAATAGACAGAGCCATGAGAGGAAAGAGAGAGGGAGGCAGAGAACCAAGAGAGCAGACAGCATGTAGTCACGATGGCAAAGAGAAACTGGAGGAAGGGAAGGGAAGGGAAGCTCAGAGGCTAGTGAAGCTTAGGGTAGTGGGCAGGAGCTAAAGAACCAGGACTCTGTACCGGGTACTTACTGAGAGCTTGGCCATTATCCACTTCGATAGTCAATAGGCACCTCAGTTAGCCATTTGTCCCTGGTTTCTAACACACAATAACTAGTGGCATTAAAACCTGGGTCACTTGTCCCTGTTTTGTAGTTGCCTCCAAAACACATACGTTGATCTGTGGGTGCTGGAACGGCATGCCGCCGGAGCAAAGATTTCCATTACTTTGCCGTTCTCTTTAGATCTACTTGTTATGTGTTTCATAATTTTATAATGACTTTATAAAAGTACACAGCAGCATGCATAAGCCTGGAAGTTTTGTCAATAGCTAGGTATAGTGTATACTGAGAAAACTGGGTGAGGCATTTCGATACAGGCCTGTAGCCAACGTGCTTGGAAGGTTGAGGGATAATCACTCTACAAATTCAAAGCCAACTTGGGATACAGAGTGAGTTCAAGGCAATATGGGCAGCCTAGTGACACAGGAGGTGTAACGCAGTGGAAGAGTGCTTTGCTAAGAATGCACACAGGATCTGCATTCAATCTCCAGTGCAATTCTGTCTCTTTCTTTCCTTTTTTTTTTTTTTTGCACTTTTTTTTTTATTTGTTTTTCGAGACAGGGTTTCTCTGTGTACCCTGGGCTGTCCTGGAACTCACTCTGTAGACCAGGCTGGCCTCGAACTCAGAAATCTGCCTGCCTCTGCCTCCCAAGTGCTGGGATTACAGGCGTGCGCCACCACTGCCCGGCTCTTTCTTTCTTTCTTTCTTTCTTTCTTTCTTTCTTTCTTTCTTTCTTTCTTTCTTCCTTCCTCCCTTCCTTCCTTCCTTCCTTCTGTCCTTCCTTCCTTCCTTCCTTCCTTCTGTCCTTCCTTCCTTCCTTCCTTCTTTCTTTCTTCTGTTTTTTTTTTCCCAAGGCAAGATTTCCCTGTTTATTCCCCCTGGCTGTCCTGGAGCTCACTCTGTAGACCATACTATCTTCAAATACACAGAGATCTGCCTGCCTCTGCCTCCTGAGTGCTAGGAATTGCCGGATTCAAGAAGAAACTTTTATTTATAGCCTGGCACCAGGTCTACACCCAGGATTTGAGATTCCTGAATGCAGCCCCATTCACCTCAGTCAGAGGTTTGTTTATAAAGAAAAAAGAACACAAGTTACATTCTCTTCTAGTGCAAGCAGAAGGTTCTCTTATGCAAAACAAGCTTCATTTACAGAAGCAGAAACAGAAGTTAAAAACAAAAAACAAACAAACAAACAAAAAAACAAAAACCAAAAAAAAAACCCTTTAACAGCCCTTAACATTTGGAAATCTAATTTTGCTTTATAGTTCTCTAAAAAAAACCCAGAGATAAACTGTTAAACATGACATTAGCGTTAGCCATGAACATGACGATAGCCATCACTGTGCTGTGTGGTGTGCTGAGATTTACAGCTTGAATGGTGCTTGCATCATGGAGTCAGTTGTGCTAAGGCCTGGGGCCCTGTTACACTAGAACTCATTCACTATGAAGACCAGGCAGGCCTCCAACTCATAGTTCTCCTGCCTCTGCCTCTTAGGTGCTGAGATTAAAGGTGTGCATTGCCATACCTAGCTGCTTTCAGTTAATTTTTAAAATAACTTTGGAGGTCACACAGTCTAGCAATAAATTATTTCTCCTAATAGGTTTGCTGTAGGTGACACCTCTGCCTGTACCTGTAGGGTAAAAGATCCAAGCCCACTTCTGGGTTTGAAAATCTATCAAACCCCACCAATTCCTGAGTTATGAAAACCACCAATCCCTTAGCTAGAAATCCCACCAGTCCCTGGGCTTGGACTGAAATCTCACCAATCCCCACCCTGGAAAACTTGGGCACAGCCACATCTACTGGAAACAGTGAAGGTCATGAAGCCAGCACAGCTGCTTGAAACAGTTCCAGTAAAGCTAACCTGAGTGCTTCAGTTGCTGTCAGTCTGTCTCTCACTTTTGGGGTTTTTGTCTCTATATGCTACATGTTTGGGGACTTTCTGCATTATGATTCATTTTATGTCTTTTCCTGAGAAAAATTTTATCTGAGTGCTTCTTAGGAAAGTCCTAAAATTAACTTTATCTGGCTGTATTTGTAAGTCTTCCTTATGCACTGGAGATCATTAAAGCACAGATAAACACATAATTAGATGAGACCACTAGCCGGGCAGTGGCGGCACATGCCTTTAATCCCAGCACTTGGGAGGCAGAGGCAGGCAGATTTCTGAGTTCGAGGCCAGCCTGAGTTCGAGGTCTACAGACTGAGTTCGAGGTCTACAGACTGAGTTCCAGGACGCCAGGGCTACACAGAGAAATCCTGTCTCGAAAAACCAAAAAAAGAAAGAAAAAAAAAAAGATGAGACCATTACTCCAGGAAGCTTCTTGGTGTATCAGCCAGTGAGCTAACTCAAACAGTATAATTGGTGCAGGGTATACAGAGACAACTGACAAACTTATGACTGGTCAAGAGAATAGGTTACATTCAAGGCCCCCTTTACAGTATGCTTAGAGCTTTCTGAAAATGAAGTTTAAATATAGGAGGTTGTACAGGATACACTCTTGGAGGAATAGAACTCAGTAAATAAGATAGATTGACTAAAATAAACTTTTCCTTCTTTATAGCATAGATGATGAAGTAATTAAAAAGTTAGGTATTAGTATTTGTTATTAATAACAACTGGTTCAGATATTTTCTGTTTGTTTGGAGTGCTTTAAAACTGCAAACATTGCCAGCCTAAAAGCAGGCTGTCTTTTAATAGATGTGTTTGCTTTGGAGGAGACATTCTTTAGATTTTTTTACATTGGCGTTATAGAGCTGATGATAAAAACAAAATCTCTTCTATTTGTATTTCCTAATTGTGACAGAACTTATAACTCTGGACATAAAATGAAAAATATAATCTGTACTTCTTGGATAATCATTGTTCTGTGAAAGTCTTTTTTTTTTCTTTTTTCTTTTTTTTTGTTTTTCGAGACAGGGTTTCTCTGAGTAGCCCTGGCTGTCCTGGAACTCACTCTGTAGACCAGGCTACCCTTGAACTCTCGAACTCAGAAATCCGCCTGCCTCTGCCTCCCAAGTGCTGGGATTAAAGCGGTGTGCCACCACCGCTCGGCCGAAAGAGTATTTTTTTTTTTTTTTCTGTGAAACCTATAAAATAAACACCTGATTGCTAATCAGAAGTGCAAGATTCCCTGACCACTTCCTCACTCACTCCTCCCTTCCTTTATCTCCTCTGTGGCTGGGCTGTCCTGTTGACAAACTGCCTGGGCAGGTTCCTGGCAAAACTCCCTGAAGAAACCCCTATCTATATACGTCTGTCTCCTGTTCAGTTCCAAACTATTTCTCACCCAAGCAGAGGTAGCTACCCTTTTGTTTCCGTCACAGTAAATCTCTTGTATGAGGTTTGTTGTGCCGGATTACTTTGTGGTATTCCTTGGCTCTCAACTGCTAGGATGCTTTCCTTTCAGAGCTGCAACACTTTCGTAGGGGGAAAACTCTTTCCTCAGAGCTTTAACACTTCCACTGGGGAAACCCTTTCCATGAGAGCTGCAGCATCTTGGTTGGGGAAGCAATTCAGCTGTAACAACAATGTAACGATATTGGTGTGTTCTCCTCAGAGCTGCAACACTATATTGGGGAAAACTTTCCCCCTCAGAACAAAACTGTAGTGCTTTCATTGAGGAAGCCTTTCCTTGCAGAGATGTAACACAGATGTAACACAGTACCTATGTAGTAAGTAAAATGGTAGAGCTGAGTGATAGAGCGTTTGCCTGGCGTGCAGAAATGCCAGAGTGGAATTGAGAGTCTGGAGGGCAGATTGAAAGCAAGCTGTATTGGTTCAGTGGAGGTAGTTTGTTTTTCCAGCCTCTATGCTTAATGAAACTGAACAATTTTTGTGCCTCCCAGAAACTGATGCTGGTTATGCAAAACTTGCTTATAATTATCCACTTGTAGACCTATAATAGCAGCACAGGACAATATATTTTAAAATGTATTATACGTTCATTGGTGTT